CTACTTCTGCTGATCACCGGCTGCCAGCAGTTTGGCAGATCGAATCTCACCAGGCTCAAGGTTGACTCAGCCTCCCATCCTTCCGAGGTCGGTAAAGTGAGGACCCAGATTGTTGAGGGCAATAGGTGGGCTATGTAAACCGCTTAAAGAGATCTGTAAAAGCACTGTGAAGCAGTATATAAGTCTAAGTGCTATTGCTATACCTTCTAACACAAAAATAATCTGAAGTAACTTCTGAAGGCTGCATAGTTAGGGATAGCACTTTTCTTGCAGAATATGGCAGGTAGTTTCTGCTCTTCCACATCTATTTGCAGTCATGAATATTGGAGAAAATACAGATACTCCTCGACTTACAAGAGTTCATTCAGCGACAGTTTGAAATTGCAACAGAACTGAAAACAGTGAGTTATGACCATTTTTTCATGCTTTATGACCATTGAAGTATCCCCACCCACGGTCACATGATCAAAATTTGGATGCTTGGCAATTGGTTGATATTAATGACGGTTGCAGGGTCCCGGGGTCATGTGATCTCCTTTTGCGACCTTCTGACAAGCAAAGTCAACAGGGGGAAGCCCAATTCACTTAACCACTGTGGTCAGGACTTAACAACTGCAGTGATTCACTTAACTGCAGCAAGAAACTTCATGAAATGGGGCAAAATTCCCTTAACAAATGTCTCACTTAGCAACAGAAAATTTTGGGCTCAATTGTGGTCGTAAGTCGAGGACTGCCTGTATATGACAGTAGAACTCATCTAACATATCTGGGGTGCGTTAGTTGGAGAGGTCTATTCTTGGGCAGAGGTGACTAAGTGAGGGCTTAGCCTTATGTTTCGACAACAATTTTATTTCGCCTCCAAACTCCAAAAGGGAGGGTTAGCCAGATTAATGGAGATAATGGCAGGAAGGCACTATTGCTTGCGTTACATTTGCCAAATTGCTTCAAACCCAGCATCCCAAGGGTCTCTTTATCTATTCCCGTGATGGCACTGTTGCCAGCTGCTCTTCTGGTTTCCCAGCTGGTGTTCGCAGGCTCTGGAATGCTGGAAAAGGGCCTGAAAAAGGGCCCAAAATAGCCCCAAAAACAGGCCGTTTTCCAGGCCTTTGGGGGCCGTTTTCAGGCCGTTTTTCTGGGTCATTTTTTTCGGGCTGTTTTCAGATCTTTTGGGGGGCCGTTTTGGGGGCAGTTCGACTAGCTCCAAGTGGGAAGAAAGACATTGGAAACACTGAAAAGGCCTGCCCAAAAATGGCCTGAAAAAGGGCTGAAAAACAGCCAAAAATGCCCCCAAAACAGGCATGTGTGCACCGGCAAACTAGTCTTTGGGTTTCTGGTACTCTGGCGTGCATGAAGACCAGCTGGCTGCCATGCATTCACGTGCCGGAAACCCCAAAGACCAGCTGGCTGGTGTATGTGCGCACGCATGCATATGCCTGCAAACACATTATGGCAGTGTTTCTCAACCTTGGCAACTTGAAGATGTCCGGACTTCAACTCCCAGAATTCCCCAGCCAGCGAATGCTTTGCTGGCTGGGGAATTCTGGGAGTTGAAGTCCGGACATCTTCAAGTTGCCAAGGTTGAGAAACACTGCATTATAGTTTGGGCACTCTGTGCCGAAAAAATTCGCCAACACTGATCTAGGGCCTTGTTTAAAAAGGAAGGCACTCTTTCCACACAGCCTCCCCAGCATTACAACTTTCAGCACTTTGCTCCAAAGGTTCTGCATTACCCACTTGACTTTTTAAAAAGCGGAGTCT